AGATACATGCAACTAAAACATGACAACACACTCTGCTAGATAGTCAGTGTTTTGTGGTACTTAAGAGGGAAGTGTTAGAGCTACAGCGAGATTTTTAATGAGGATGTCTTTCTTCCACAGCAGAACACAGGTGCTGTCTGCAGCCCTTTTCAGACATGACACGCTCAGAATAGTTTACTAATTATTGGATTCTACTAGAGCATCACTACTGCATCATTCATAGTTTAAAATATTTTCTTTCTTACACAGGATCTTGGCACAGCCTCTCATCCTGTATTTGAAACAATCTACCTTCCCTTGCCTTTAAGCCAGCTTTCAGACGGAGCTTTTGTGATCGCAGTCAGAGCTGAGTGTCCATGAGAGGTCCATGTAATGATGGCGGTTTCTTAGTGACATCATACAGAGTCAAGAACAGAAAAAACTAGAGCAGTTTGAAAACTTTGGCAAAACAGTAGATGTAGGATGAACACAGTGGTGCAGCATGGCAACTCAAAGCCCTGAGAAAAACAATCTTTCATGGTTTTACTTTTATTGACAAAGAATGATGAAAAATAGAAAATGAAGTCAAAGGCACATCCTCCATCCTGAGGTAATTAACAGTTTGCAACAGTGAAATCACAGTTAAAGCTGCGTACTTTTATATACAGAGTAGATTATTGTAAAATAGTTCAGTAGATATGCAGATTTTTTTGTCCTGTAGCACTGCATCTGTGCTTTTCTGCGGCTTCTAGCTGGAAGCTGATTAATTATTCTCTGTGTGAAGGATGTTTTGGCCTAGAGTGATTGCTGCTCCTCTGTGGCACTCCTGTTCTCTAGATCACCTCGAGCCAAATGAGATGTGGTGGGGAGGAATAAAGGGTCAAAGCCCTCCATCTCTGCACCACCATCCCTTCCTTACGTCCCCTAACCCTCAGCAGCCTTGACAATCCAGAGCTGCGAGGAACAGTGGGCTCCCCTGGTACAGTTTCTTCTTAGAACTGTACCAGTTCTAAGAATGATTCCAGTATGACACAGGAATCTAGTAAATGTTAATATAGTTTACTGAATAATGTGATTTTTTTTAATGAATATTACTGAAATCCTGCTTTATTTCATGGTATTTCTTTCCCTATCTAAGAATTCAACACTAAAAGTGTCCTAGTATTACGTCCACAGACATCTGCTGGGCCGATTGTACAGCTGTCATTTGTTACTTTGCTCTCATCAGTTCTGGCTCAATGTTTCCAAGACGCAAGCGGATCACACTGTAGGCTGAGGAGGTTGTGTTCTAGTTTGCAGTTGTTAGTCATGTCAGATGCTCAGTAAACAGTCAGAGTTGCCCGCAGTGGTGATAGCAGCTTGTCAGGTCTTAGGCAATGCTAACTGCCCATGCAAAATGTTTTCAGAGCAGTCCAAAAGCCTTTATTTACAGTTTTCCAGGATTTCAGTAAAGGTGCTAGAATTAAATGAATGTATTTATAACATCAATCACACATAGATTAACATTCCCCCTGTTTATATAGGTAAAGGCACATAAGACGACTTGGTTTGCATCTCTTTGCAGTCAGTTTATATGTCTCTCTCTTCTCTTTGTCTCTCTGTTTATGTGTTTCATTTGCATTTCTGTCTCTGGTCTACTTTCTTCTCTTTTTGGTCATGTTTAGACTCAGTGACACCTTTTTTCTGACTCTTTCCAATCGCTTTTTGAGCTAATTTGCATTTTTTTTCTTTTTTCTGCCTTTTAGTGTTTGGTTTTGGTCTCTTTCTGGTCATTTTCACTTTCTTTGTAGTTGTCTGCCTCTCCTGGTTTAATCACAGCACTTTGTGTTTCTTTGTAGACAATTTCAAGTCTATTTTTGGTCGTTTGAATTTCTTTCTAAAATTCACATGTTTAGAAACAGGTTTTCTGGGATTAGGTGTGTGGAGTATTTGAAACCCTCAGCCTGTGCAGCAGACACTTTCTTTTCCTTCAACCATTACAAGCTGAATCTCTACAATTTTGCTTCATTTTTGTCAATCTCATATTTCAAGTACAGTGGTCCCTCGCTGTAACGTGGTTCACCTTTCGCGGCCTCACTGTTTCACAAATTTTTTTTGTGCAATTTTGCTTTTTTGTGTTTGTTTGTTTGTTTTTTTACAGGGCATTGTGTTCTGCCTCCTGATCGGCTGTAGACCATTGTCAGTCACTCTCCTCCGTGCTGTGTCTCCCGTACAGAACAGAATGCGTTCAGCTTGTCACATTTACATAAATCTTCGATCGCTAGCAGTGTGACTCTGAAGTGCTGTACTTTATGTCTGCAAGTTTTCTCCCCAACAAACACAACAATGTCGACAAATGTTTTACACGGTCAAAGGCACCTGCGCTAGCACCCAAGAGGGAAAGATGCTACCATCACACAAAAAGTTGGACATCTGGACATGCTAAAGGAAGATAGAAGCTACCGTATTATAAGGTGCCTGAATATAAGGCACATTAAGCGATCAGATATGTCAAACTTTCCCCAACTCATTCTTCTTGCTTCCGTACCATTGATTCATTAATGTTGAATTTTCTGGCAGATTTTTTTTTTAAATGTCTTTTTAGCTTGACTAAATAAAAACATAAAAGCTTTTAAAACGGTAAATGGTCTGTATTTGCATAGCGCTTTACTTGGTCCTAAGGACCCCAAAGCGCTTTACACTATACACAATCATCCACCCATTCACACACACGTGATGGCAAGCTACATGTAGCCACAGTCGCCCTGGGGCGCACTGACAGAGGCGAGGCTGCCGGACACTGGCGCCACCGGGCCCTCTGACCACCACCAGTAGGCAACGGGTGAAATGTCTCGCCCAAGGACACAACGACCGAGACTGTCGGAGCCTGGGCTCGAACCGGCAACCTTCCGATTACAAGACGAACGCCCAACTCTTGAGCCACGATCGCTCCTAAAACCTACTCAACTGTCTATATACTGTACGTAGCAGGAGCTGTATGGGCTACATTTAGACTCTACTCCATCTAGACCATATGTTGGACAGAACCTGAAATACAGATGTGGGTGTAAAACAACAAGAAACCACATGTCGAGCAAAATAAACCAGTTGTGTATATATATATCATTCATTTTGAACACACTCGCACAAAATAATAAACAGAAAGAGCTAGCAGGATGACACAGTGTCATAGTTCTTGAGTAAAGCTAACACGAGGATTTCATTGAAATAGAAAAAAAAGATCAGAAGTTAAATTGCTTCTGAGAGTATTTGCAATAATCAGAATCTTTCTTCTAAAAAGTGTCTTGAAGTAGCACTTTCATTTACCACCTTCAACCCACAAGCACCTGCTGTTGCTGCAGAGATCGTGTTGTTTTTCTTTTTCAAATGCCTAACGGTGTTAGACTTATATGTCGGCAGCTATAGTCACACACTATATATACCCAAGTGCGCCTCAGCTTAATGGCACACACTAATGACAGGACATCAGCCCGCATTTACTAAACATGTATGTGCAGATTTGCAACAGTAACTAATTTTACGACTTCACTTTACAACTATTTTTCTTAGTTACCAAGTTGATACTGTAATTACTGCATTACTGCATTGTTGATACAGGGCGATCGTGGCTCAAGAGTTGGGAGTTCGCCTTGTAATCGGAAGGTTGCCGGTTCGAGCCCTGGCTTGGACAGTCTCGGTCGTTGTGTCCTTGGGCAAGACACTTCACCCGTTGCCTACTGGTGGTGGTCAGAGGGCCCGGTGGCGCCAGTGTCCGGCAGCCTCGCCTCTGTCAGTGCGCCCCAGGGTGGCTGTGGCTACAGTGTAGCTGCCATCACCTGTGTGTGAATGGGTGGATGACTGGATATGTAAAGCACTTTGGGGTCCTTAGGGACTAGAAAAGCGCTATATAAATACAGGCCATTTACCATTTACTGTAGAGATTTGAAAAAACTTTAATCCTCACCTTAAGCTAAGGTTTAGCATTATCTTATCCAAGTCAGGCACCAAATATTATAATTAGGAGCCTTAAAGTAAAACTACAGCATTTTTTTCTTCTTGTATTGAGAAATACCTCAAATTTAAAAAAAAAATAGATCTGTGATATGTCTAAGGAGCTTGGAAAGAAAGGTGACTGGACTTCTTTAAATTTCTTGAAGATGTTTCATCTGAAAAGCTTCAGTTCTAAGAGCAACTGGTGGAGAGAAGACAGATGGTTTGAAAGAGGAGTGAAAGAAGCCATCTATGTCCACTCTGAACGACCATCTTTGAACAGAGGCGGTGGCTTACAACACCAACTGTCTATCATCTATAATCCAGTTCTGAGATCCTTCCAAGATGCCTTAATGCCCACTCACATCCTGGGCCATTTGACCTCAGGAAGTCACATGGTAGGGTGGGGCCAGGCTTCACAATGGATTCACCCAAAACCTTGGCTGATTGTGACCCACACCCATTTTCACACCTTGGCTCCTGTGATTAGGTAGACAATCAATAAGGGGTCCATGACCCTCTTGTGGGGACACTCCCCTAGGGCTTAAATTCTTGGACTCTCCACCACTCGCTGCTCTTAGAACTGAAGAAGCTTCTCAGATGAAACGTCTTCAAGTAAACTTAAAGAAGTCCAGATGCTTTTCTTTCCAAGCTCCTTAGACTACGATGACCTGGATGACTGAAAACCTTCACAGAGTGAATGGTGTGATATGGTAAAAACAAAAAGTATTTAGCTCAAGGAAAGAACCACCATACTTGACAGTATACGTGAGCGTCATTGATGTCAGATTCAACTTTAAGAGAAAGAACATGGTGATTATTTAATTTGATTTGTTATTACATGTTTATGGACAAACTCTTTCTCACTAAGAGCCTTTTTTTAATGCTCCAGTTCTTGTATTTCCAAACATGAAAAGTCATTTTTTCATATGTGCTGTAGGCCTTAAACAAGCTCATAGGAAAGGATTTGTGTTCCTGTAGAAAGTTTTGGTCACGGGGAAGAAAATAGAATAGTAACAGTGTTTTTGTGCTTCTGTTTCTTATCTTTACAGGTACAAGAATATCATCCAGCTATGGACTGGCTGTCCTCCTCGTGGCGTGTGGTTTGGTGAGGAATGCCTTGTTATAATTTGAGGAACTGACATGGTTTGCACCCAGGTCTCTCTCTCTCTCTCACTCACTCACTCTCTCTTTTTCTGTTTGCTCTCAAAGCGAATGAGAAAAAAAATGCCTGTTTTACTCCCTGCCCCTCTCCCCCCCCCCCCCCCCCCCCTTACCCCACACACATCTCTCCACCATATTGCGGACAGCACAGTTGCCCCCCCCCTCGTGTCCTAGCCACTACTGCTCTTGCACCCAGCACATTGTTATTAGCCAATGTAAACACCAGTCACATTTAAAGCTGTCGGATTACCTTTTGTACAGACGTCATCCTGACACCACCTGAGGTGCAACGCTCCTATGTGACAACTGGACTCTGTATCTTGTTGGATAAATCTCATGGAAGAATGACTTTCTTATGGTTTCGCTGTTCCAGTTCATGCGTTCATTGCTCAAAAGCGAACAAAAAAAGGAGAGTCTATATTTGTGTAATATATATAATTCTAGATCTGTATCTATATCTGTTTTATTTGAAGCACCTAGAATTACTGTATGTGCTGTATACATAGCTACCACTCACCATATTGACCATGGAACTTCAATGTGAATAGGCACTCTTAGCCCTCTCAAAGAGATAATTTATATTCAAGTATGTGTTAATTTAGACTGTTACCATTAACCAACAGGTTAACGAAAGGTTAAATTTTCCAATTTTTCTTTCAGCTGTATCAGCCACCCAGCTTTCCATTGTGCATAATTTAACATCTTGTTAGTGATCCATCCGGGGATATGCATGCTTATCGGTCTGAAGGCTTAGAAGAGAGGATAACACATTAGTTGACCTACATGAGTCAAACATTTGGAGTTCAGTGTTACGATATTTTGAATTTAGCTTTATTTTAATGTGCTAACTTTGATGTGAAAAAAATGTCCCTATGTCATTTTAATTTGTATCGCATCCTTGGTAGGAATAAAAAAGGATGTCACAAGTTACGAGTCATTCAAAATTGTAATATGTGACCATTGGATGATTGATGTTAACTGACCTGGACCTTTGCTAAATGACATGCTTCAGATGCTGTGCACCTCCCTGCTATAATTACAGAGGATGAATGAGGATTTGCCCACTTTGGATGATGAGGATAGCTAGCATTTATTGGTTATGATTCCTAATGCATACAGTGACACACATACAGGTACAAGTCTGAGTGGCAGGGTGGTGACATGAGATCCAGTGACACAGAGAGTATACTCATTATGTGAAATACGTTTATTTTTTCTCTCTTAATCTCACATTAATATATTTTTAGCTTTATCTTCAGATGATATATCACAGAGTTTTTTATTCATGCATAGCATTTATTAAAAATATACCGCTTTGACAATCTGACACAAACAGAGGCAAAGGCGTGGTGGGGTTTCATAGTACACATAGCTTAGATCATTAGCATGACTGAGGATAACCTCCAAAAGAAAAACGGATTCTTTCCTTGTTAACTTTTGAGCTGAAAGGACATTGTGCACCAATGTTCCAATTTAAAGTGAAATATTTATGATTAAGCGAATAGCTGACAGATGTCTCAAGAAGGATACTGTAAATGAATATTATCGACCATAAAATTCAGTGCCAGAGAGCACCAATCACCCTGCAACGAGATCAGTGCTTTATTTCCCATCTTTCTTCTTGCTTAGCCCAACTTTTAAGGTGGTCAAAGATAAAGCATGATAATAGAAGTCATAATTTATTATATGGTGTAAGCTGGCTTTCATGCATAGTATATAAGGAGTGATCAAAAAATTCTGGGAATCCACCCCACACCCCCTAAAAAAATCAACTCTTGGCCATATCATTTAAAATTGGCCAACCTCTTGTTCAAGATCATCTTCTTGTGCACAGGTGGTATTTTTAGATCACCCTGTACATTTATCCCTGGCTTGCCTCTGCAATATGTGCTGATGTCCTTCAGTTTTATTAAAATCGGATTTTCAGTTTCAGGAAAAAGTTACAGGGAGGCAGATAATGCACGTAAAAAGCAAAGATTGTGTTGATGTGGGTGAAAAACTGGAAAGCAATAGCATTTCCCTGAGGCACCTCGCACCAATGCAGGACCAGACACACAGCATGTCATGGTGCACAACCTCATGAATGTCAAAAAAAAAAAATGATGAGCATGCTTCTTATTTCCCACCTCATCTGATCTGCTGCCTTCAAACTATTGGATCACAGCTGGAAACCCAGATCCCATCACCAGCGACGGCCGAGTCAAGTTGCTGTTTGGTCACCGTGCAAGTTTGAGGTCCACGGTGAAATCACAGGATGTACACGTCATGTGGTAAAAGAAAAAACTTCCAGGGAGTGATCTAAAAATAGCAGCTATGCTGGAAGCTGTCTGGACATTACTGAGAAGATGATGTTGAATGAGAGATCAGAGATGTTTAAATCAGGCAGGGTTTTCAATTATTATGGACCTGATCTCAGGGCGTTTTGATCACACGCATACAGCATTTTGAAATGATTACTGTGTATGTCCCAAAAAAGGTAAATGTTCACTTCACTTTGAGCTTTCATTCTGCTTTGCAGTCAAAGCTAAATCAAATTCTCCCTTGTATAGATGCATTTCCAATAACAGTTGTGTGAAAACTTGTTGATCCAGCTCGGAGCTTCAAAGGCTGACAGAATGTGTCGTGCTTTGGGATAAGAGCAGAGACATCTTCTGATCAGAAGCATCAAGGCTGGGTACAAGATGTGCGGGCGATGGAGGGCGACCCTGTCTAATGCCTCAAGTTTCAAATAGCTTCAATGCACATTTAGACAGTTAATCTAACATCGCTGTCACATATATGCCACTCGACGGATTGTTTTGAAAAGCTATGTAACATGATTTAGTTTACAAGGAGAAAACAATCTTTTCCAGTGTATTGAGAACGAGATTTGAATGTGTGCCAGAGAGTGGACGGTGTGTCCAACCTCATGTAAAAAGATGCAGAATTGTACAACTTGTAAATGAAATAATCAGCATGAGAACATTTTTTAAATCCATTTAAAAAGGCAGAGGCCAGTGATGTTCTGTACTTGTAACAATGGTGTCATGTACTCATATTCAAGTGTAAACAAGTCCAAAGTGGGTTTTCATCTCTTCAAAATGAAAATGGGTAAAATGTATTTGACAAAAAAAAAAAGTATCTATCTATCTATATATATTAGAAACATCTCCTTTATAAAGCCTTCATCTTAATCTAGGGGACTCACTTCATCGTGGGTCCTTGCAACATACTGAATAACAAAGAAAGAGAGATGGGAGCAATGATTGATTGGTGTGGTTAAAAAAATAATAACTAATACTTGGTATGAGTGTTGGGAGAGGCTGAATTGCTTACAAGCAGCAAGGTCTCTATTACCAAAGAGGAGAACAGTTCACTGTGATGGTAACAGCAGCAGTTCCTACACCCAGGGATGTTATTTCAGAAACATCACACAGCCATTTTTGTTCTGTTTTATATGCCAACTCTTCACCCACTCTAGATGTATTTGTTTCTTCTAATGTATTTCATTTCAATGCGGTCCTGTCTGTTTGTTGAGCTGTCAAAACTTCTGATGAATTATAATTCTCTTTTCTTTGCTATTGTGTGAGGCTTCTGTACTGCAACATTGCAACAGTTTGTATTATAATGACAATACCAGAATAATATTTAAATAAACCATTTTCACAGATGAAATTCAAACACTGAGGAATCCCATCTGTTTGGTTGCTAAAATACTGAGCTTTTTAGTGAGTGAGCTAGAGAGCGCTGACAGTGCTAAACACTGGCCCAGTTTCCAACTTGGAATAAATGTTGGAATTATTAATAGCTTTTTGTTTGATAGCACCGTAGAATCTTGCTTTATATACCATCAAGAGACTGAAAAATGTGAAAAAAGCTAAACAGAAAAAGAAACAAATGTTTGCGATTGGCATCATTTTTGAATTAAATGGTAAATGGCCTGTATTTGTATAGCGCTTTTACTAGTCCCGCCTAGGGACCCCAAAGCACTTTACACACCCAGTCATCCACCCATTCACACACACATTCACACACTGGTGGAGGCAAGCTACAGTTGTAGCTACAGCTGCCCTGGGGCAGACTGACAGTCTTGACTGAATTACTTCATAATCATAAAAAAAGTGGCTGATCCAAGTATATAAGAAGGGATTAAAGGTTTTGATCTATTATGATATATCATTCAGAAATGATAAAGGTCATTGTGCTGATATATTCTGCTTACAAAAATGAATAAAAGGGGGGGGGGGGGGGGGGGGGGGGGGGGTGTTGCCATCTATAGACTGAAAGTTTACTTAAAAACTTAAATAGCTGTTATAGTGGAATGAAATGTTGATGTTGTTGATGCTCTGCTTCTTTGTCAAAGCCCTTATAGAGTCGCGGTATTAATAATGGTACCACTGTGCTTAAATCTAAAGTTCTTCAACATGAAGAACACTGAGGGACATAAAGATTCGAACACAATTTTTTAACAAGTCGTAATCGAGGCACTGTGATGCTGGTGGTAAAAAGAGTAACAAGTATTTAGGCAGTTTGCAATTTGGTCGCTTGCTTTTGGCAGCCTTCATCAGTGCAAAACTTAGTAACAGAAAACAACATCCCAGCTGGTAAAAATGAGCCGTCAAATCTCATCATCCACTTGTCTGTTTGAAAGGTAAGAAAGAGCACTAGTAAATTAAGAGAGCGAGATCCTCTTTCGAACTGCGGAGTGAATTTGGCAGCAGCAGCTCAGCTAATCAGGTTTACTTAATCAGTGAATTCAGAATGCAAAACAGGCAAAGTAGCAAAAGAGAGCAAAAGCAAGAGAGACACATGAGCAGCAATATGAAATTAACCCTCAGCCCGTGTTAGTTATTTCAGCAAGCAATGACAGTTATTTATGTGGAGGCAAAGAAAGAGCAAACCACCGACCGGCCTCTGGCACTCGAATCAGGACACTGTTTGTACTGCTGCATAAAGAAGTAGGGGGAATTATTGTACGTGGAAATTACTGCCCTCTCTGCACCTTGCATATTCAAATATGTTGTGTTGCTGCAGACGATGAATCACAGATGGGTAAGATCTGTTCATCCTTTTATGTGTTTCCATGG